ATAGAAGATTCGAGGGCGGGGCGGCTTGGGGACCCCACCCACGCAGCCTCGGTCCGTCCTTCTTTACTGTGACGAAGGGCTGCTGCGGGCGTGAGGCCTGGGCCCCCAGGAGGTGCATCGGAGCAAGTCCAATTCCGCGCGCCCCACCCCGGAGCTTCCTAGACCTAAGGAGAGGTGGGGCGGTTTCCGAGCAAAGCTCCACCTTCTTCTCATGTGATCCGGAGCCGATGTCTTTTAAACCCCGGCCTTCTTCCACCAGGCTAGGGGATGCGGTCGTCCCCGCAGCCCACCCGGCCGAGCCGTGGCCGTAGCCATGGCGGAGGGCCCGCAGCCCGCGGGCGATGGCGCACCCTCGGGTGGACCCTGCTGCTGCTGTACTTGCCGCGGCCAGCAGGTAGGTGCGCGGGGCCGCGGCCGGAGCAGGGGGCGGGATGAATGAATGAGAATGTTGCTGGCCTCCGGGCCCGGGCCACGCTGACCGCTACTTTGTCTGGGTCGATTCCACAGGGTTTAGCGAAGACCTTCGTCTGTACAGAACTTGTAACTCTTGTCTCTTCGGTTTGTGCTCTCTGGGCGCCTTTCTTGCACCACCTTAAGACAGTGGTTCCCAACCTTCCTAAAGCCGCGACCCTTTCACAGGGTCAAAACAGCGTCCTGATGTCCTTATAAGGGCTCTTTATCGTGAGTCCAGTGACAGGTGGATGATTCCTCTGTGGAAAGGAGGCTTGGAGGGAGCAAAACCGGATAAAGCCAGGCTGTGTGATAGGAAGACCCTTGGCTCCATCACTTTCCACTGGGGGAACCACCACCACTTCCACCCTGACTAAGCAAGTCTGCATTCACCATTCCTCAGCCTGTTCTGCCGTCTGGGTCTGGGGGCTCACCCAGGCTACAGGTTTCCTGGTCTTCTATCCCACCCGACGGATTCTGGAAGCTTCAGGCCCACTTTGGCTCACCCTACCTGATGCCTCTCTCTTCCTCCCTTCTCACCCCACTGCCATTTTGAGCTGAAGGGTCTCAGTCCACTTAGGAGCTGGGACCCCAGAGTACTTGCTCATAAACTTGGTGCTGCCTGTGCATCAGCCTGGTGGCTGTGGGCATGGAGGGGGCTGGTGGCTGGGGGTGCAGCAGCTGCCAGGAGGGAGTAGAGAGTGGAAGGTGTCATGGTCCAGCAGTCATTATTACCGTGCCCTCCACCTTGTTCATGTGCAAAATGGTCACATAGTAGATTTTTCACTATTTGTTGTAAATTTGAAGTGTTGAATTATAAGAGTTGATAAGTGAGTGGTTGTGTATGAAAAACCTTTGAATTGTATTCTTACAATGCGTGAGTTGTGTGTTATATAAATTATACCTTGAGCAATCTGTTGTTGTTTTTTCTGTAGGGTAGGATATTTATTTCAATAAAATTTGTCAAGCATCTGTAATACCAAATAAGAGCACAGAAGGTGCAAAACTTTAATTTTGTTCACAATTCAGTCGTTTAACCACTTAAATGGATATTAATTAATTTATTAACACGAAATGAAGACATATCATTTAAAGCAATGTAAAAACATTAAAACAAAATATATTACCCAAGAGAAAACCCAAAAAGCATTTTCAAAAATAATTACCCACTACTAACTTGATGAGTTTTAATGAAAATTTCTGAGGATGATTATTATTTATGTGAATAAAGCATCATTGGGATTTTATTTAAAATTTCAAACAACAGTTGAATTAACGGTTATTTCTCATTTGAAATATTATACACAATTCCGGTTTTTGAGCTCCCACTGCGTTGTGTTCACTTGTAGGAAAGAGAGTTTAGCTTTCAATGAGAAAGAGGTTCCATCCGGGTCTCATCACTGAGCAGAACTGGGGACAGGTTTCTGCTAACTTCTCCGACTAGGAGCAGAGTTTGAATAAACTCACAGTATGAGACTCGGAAAAGGTCGATTTTCTAGGATGTTGACTGGAGTTTGCCGAGGGTGGAGGGTGGCATTCCAAGGAGGAAGTCAGCCGAGGGGTCGCGTGATATGTGTCCACTAGTTCCCCCAGTCAATGATATGATGGGGCCGCCAGTCAGCACCTTGTTCTGTAGCTCATCTGCCTCCTTGCCTGCTGTGTCCTGATGGCAGCCTTGGGCACAGCGGGACCGTTCATCCAGCATTCCGCAGACAAGAACCCGGCAGCGCAGAAACACTTCCTTGTGATCTTTGCTCACAAACTGGAAGACGGGACCTGGAAGTGTTTTGCGAGGTGGTCCCGAGTTGTATACTGCTTTACCGAATCATCAGAAACAGCCGTCGTGGATCAGCTAGTACTTGGGGACCTTGTCCATCTCAGAGGTGGGCGTGGCCAAGCAGCTCTCCACCAAGCTCTGCTGCCCACTCACGTGCACCAGGGGCTCGATGCCGAAGTAGAGCATGGGCAGAGCTTCCCGGTAGGGCTCCTCAAACTCCTTGTCCTTGAAGATCTCCAGGATGAAGGAGAAGACACCCCGGCTGCGGCTCCGGATCTCCAGAGGGGGGTTCTGCAGGTTGGGGACTAGCCTTCGGAGATGGTGGACAGGCGCGGGAACTAGCATGTCACCGGGATCAGCAGCTTGCTCGTGCGCAAGATGACGTGTCCGCTGCTTCCTGGGGACTGCTTGCGGAGGCCTGTCACATGATTGCTAGCCACGATCTTGTGGTTCACCACATCAACCACCGTGCCACAGGTCTTGAGGGAGAAGAGGATGTTGACATGGATGCCATTGGATATCCCTCAGCAGAAAGTGTTCGTCAGGAAGCGCTCCAGGCCACCAACCAGGTCCTGGGGGATGTTCACTTCAATGGTGTCGGACTTGCACGGAACAGGGACTTGGCAAGTGTGGTTGTCCTCAGACAGCACCAATCCTTGGGGACGTTCGCACTGGTAACCCTTCTTGGTTGTAAGGCAGGAATGGCATCCCTCAATGTCTTCATAAGTTTTGCACACTCATAGCGATAGGAGTTTTTGAGGTTTACACAGATCTCATTGCAGCCACCATTGTTTAGCTCACATTCATTTTCATCAAAACACGTGTGCTTCTCAAGGACCTAGCCTGGTTCCAGGAGCGCACGTGCAGTCACTGGCATCTGGGCAGTTCCCATGGCAGTCCTCATCACAGATGTCATAGAAGTGACCACAGTAGACATGGAAGCAGACACTGGACTTAGTCAGATGATACACATAGTAGCCTCCGGGACACGCCTTGACCTCCAACGTGGTGTTCCAGAGACAGCAGTTGCCACTGAAGCTCCCACAGGCCAGCCTTTGCACAATGCCATTGCCTTCTAACGATGGCTGCCATTGAGCCAGATAGGCGCGTGGGTTCCACAGTGGTTTTCTGGTATGCGGAAGGTGGGCATGGCGTCTCCTGCCATGCTCATAAAGCGGTACCACTCCCCATCCATGTAGTTGTCAATAGAGGGGGACCTTGGGACTCATCCAGTCGGTGATCAGTGTTCCTCCATGGCTCGTTCAGACTGATGTATGCCGAGCACGGATGTAGCGCTAAGCCCCGCTTGGTGGTCCTCATGGGGAGAGCCTCAGAGCGAGAGCAGGAGAGCTCCCACTTTATTACTAACCAAGGGTTATATCTCTGTTTTTGTTTTTTTAAGGATAAATACATGCAAGAAGACACGCACCTTATATGGACTGCAGTCCACAAGCCAGGACTCCTGCCCCTGAGGCCCAATTCTCTCTTCCCCTGTGTGTTAGACAGGGTTCTCTAGAGAGATAAAACCCTATTGCTGATAATTTAATATATTTACTTTTAAAGATAATTAGATATATAACAAGGAATGAACTGTTAAATTATATACAGATATATAATACAAGAAATGAACAGTTAAATTATAAAGAAGTACAAATGGCTCAGTGCAACTCACTCCCGTGAGAGAGAGTTGTGAGACACTAGCAGTCCTTCAAGTCTAGTCTGCTGCTAGGCCTTCCTCTATATATATAGAGAGAGCTAGGCTATGTCAGCACAGCAGCCAATCACAAGGCAGGTCACCAACTGTCAGCCAGGTCACCAACCACCAGTCCCCAGTTCCAGAGATGTCTTAAAGGGACCTCAACTTACAGCGACACAGTTCACAGGGTAGGCGTCCCACAGGTAGTGTAGCCTGTAAATTGAGGCACAGAACAAGCAAGGCAGCCGCACACTGGTCCGATGATCAAACAGTGAGAAACAAGAAAGGCGAGACTCACCGAGCCATTTATCTCTCCGCCCTTCAGTTAATCCCACTTGTGTTTATAGGCCAGGCTGGCACAATAAACTATCTCACCCTAAATCCCAGGCTCCAAATAGATATCTATTTTCAATTACATGGTAGAGTTTGAGGATGTGTTTCGTTTAAGGATCTTTGATAACTGAGTTCTCTTGTTGCCGTAGGCTTCCTGAAAGTGAAGATGGCGGAGAGGACTCAGATCGAATCCCTGGATTCCAATGTCACCCTCTTCTGCCACATCACAGATTACGCAAAACTGGATGTCAGCATTATGGGTATTACGTGGTTTCTGAAAAGGCCAGGCTCTCCCGAGGAGGTGAAGCTGTTTGAGTATTTTGGAAACAACAATAAGACCACCCGACCTGGAGCCGTGGTGCCTCTAAAAAGACTGAAGGAAGGGGATGCCTCACTGCAGCTGCCGGGGCTGCGACTGGAGGACGCAGGAGAGTACCGCTGTGAGGTGGTAGTCACCCCTGAGAGGGCACAGGGACACGTCTGTCTGGAGGTTGTAGGTGAGTTCCTGATGACATTGCTCCTGTGGTTCCATCATGGTACTGCACATTGAAATGGAGATGTGGCTGGGTCAAACGGAATGGAAGTTTAGACCATGGGCCCAGGAGTAAGAAGGACTTGAGTTTGAGTCCTGGGTTTTCACGGACAACCACAAGGAAGTGATTGATCACTCTGAACCTCAACTTGTTCCCCTCTAAACAAGAGAGAAAAGTGCTCAGTTGCTAACTGAAAGGTTGGCAGTTCAAAGCCACCAGCCACTGTGTGGGAGAAAGATAGGGCAGTCGGCTTCTGTAAAGATGTACAGTCTTGGAATCCCCATGGGGAGCAGTTCTACCTGCCCTTTAGGGCCACTGAGTCAGAACTGACTCAAAGGGGTAAGAGTGTTTTGGCTGTTTAAGAGGACCATAGAGAAGATTATATTAAATATTTAGGTAAAGGGCTTAGTATTTTTCATGTGCTCCAAGATTGGTGGCTCAGTGGTGGTGGAAGACTTCAGTTTGATTCCCAGCCAATGCACCCCATGTGCAGTCACCACCCATGTTCTTCTAAGGTGCTATGATGCAGAACAGGTTTCAGCATAGCTTGAATTCTGAGAGCAGCCAATGGAATCCTTATGGAGGGCAGCAGTCCGATCTGCAACTGACTACGGGGATGGTGCTGAAGCCGGCAGTGGTTAGTTCTGCTGTGCATGGGCTGGCCACAAGTCAGTGACAGCTAACAACAACAGGAGTAAGAGAAGCATGGTGTTGTGTGCAACGGAGTGGACTCCAACTCCCACCAATCAAATATGACCCAGGAAACCTGCCCCCTCGGGTTTCCTGGGCTGTCAGGCTTACAGCAGCAGATCATCAGGCCTTTTCTTCCCCAGAGAAGCTGCTGGGTTCAAACCGCTGACCTTTTGGTTAACAGCTGAGCTTTTAATTGTTTTTACCAACAGGCTCCTTAAAGAGAACCGTTTAAAAAAGAACAAACGAGAAACAAAAACCCTAGAGGACAGAGTAGAACTGGCCCCGTGGGATGAGGGTTCTACTCCCATAAAGAGTGTCAAAGATAACCATAGTCATTTTGACGACTGTAATTCATCTACTCTGTAGACAGCTACCTGGGAAAGGAGGGAGCTGCCGGCTTCTCGCGCCACTGATCTCACTCGAATTCCAGTTTTGCTACCTCCAAACGGGCCATCCCTTTACCACATGTGGACTTGGCATCTTTCTACATGAAAATGGGTGAAAAAAATCATACCTGCCCCAAAATTGTAGATAAGACTTTGGATAGTTTTGTACTTATGGATTTTGGGGGAGTAGGTCTATTAATTAAGACTTATTGCCTCTGATACTGACAAAAAGCCTAAAATAACTGGCTTTAATAATGACTCGGTTTTTAAAGAATAGTTTGACATTTATAGAAAAATTGAACAAACAGAAAGTTTCCATATTACCTACTACTCCATCCCAAGCACTCTTTCCTCAGTCATTGACATCTCTCATTAGTATGGTATATGTGTTATAATTAGTGAACCAAATTTGACACATTATTATTCATTAAAATTCATACTTTATTCAGCTTTTTCTTTTTTTTAGTTTTATTCAGCTTTTCTTAGTTGATAGCTGATAGCCTGTTCTGTGCGGGATTCCAGGCAAGGACTCCGCATTGGGTCCAGGGTCACCTGTCCTCAGGTTCTCTTGCTGTGACAGTTGCTTAGACTTTCCTGTGTTTGACTTGGACAGTTGTGAGGTGTCCTGGACATTTCTGTTGTAGACTATCCCTCTGTTGGAATGCATATTTTTGGTCTCTTTCACATTGGGGCTGTGGGATTGGAGAAGGAAGATCACAGAGGTTGTGTCAGCTTTATTACATCGTATCCTCAAGGGCACATACTATCAAGATGACTTATGACTCTTGATGTTGACAGTGACCATCTGGCTGAAGTAGTGGTTGTCAGGTTGCTCCATTTCAGAGTTAATGCCTGTCTCTTAAATATCTTTTTAAAAATAATTTTCTATTGTGAATTAGGTGAAGGTTTACAGAGCAAATCATCCGTTTTACATTAAAAAATTCATATCTATTTGTTTCACCTCATCTATAGCAATCTTCTCAGTGTACCTTTACATATTCCACTTCCTCCCTGTGGCCCCTGTTTCCATCCCTCCTCCTTTCCTAGCCCTCTGAACTGGTCCGTGTGGGTAAAGCTGGCCTTTTGATCATAAATGGTTGATTATTCTACAGCAGGGGTGAGTTCGTTTCCATACCTGAAGGGTGACTAAGGGCCATAGTCTTGGGGGTCCCACCTGTCTTTATCTGATCAGTAAGCCTGGTCTCTTATGATTTTGCGTTTTGTTCCACATTTTCTTCTTTGAACTTCTAGTGTGAACTTTTTCAGAGCAGTTGGTAGTGGTAGTTGGACACCATCTATTTCTTCTGGTCTCAGGGTTGGGGAGACTGACATTTGTGTAGTCCTGTTCATTGGACTAGTAATTCATTTCCAAATGTCTTTTTATTTTCATCACTTTCCTTTCCTCCAGCTGGGGAGAGACTAATAGTTGTACTGTAGATGGCTGCTTACCAGCTTGTAAGACCCTAGTTATTACTTCCCAAAGTAGGATATATGAGGGGGCACCCCCTCCCCAAAAAAGGAAAAAAATTCAAAGCTATGTGTTTAAATTTTTTTACAAGATAACCTTATCACCTTCAAAGTACACTCCATTACCCTTAATACATTTGTCAAGTCTGTGATTCCATTCTTGGAAATGTTTTCCAAACTCATCTGTTTGGATGGCTGACAGCACCTCCCTCGTTTTTTCTCCACCACTTCTACGTCTTCAAATTGTTGTTCTTCATGTCTCTCTTCATTTGCAGAAGCAAAAAGAAGTGAGTAAGGTGCATGGTGCAAGAGTGTCATGCTGTTGTTGTTGTTGTTTTGCCAAAAATTGGCACACTGTGTGAGCAGGTGCATTGTTGTGGTGGCAAAACCAGTCCCCTGTCGCCACAAATCAGGCTTTTTTCATCCCTCCTTTTGCTCCCCATCACTAATAATCATAAATAAAAGAATATTTCTTTTATTGTGAAAACATTTTCTTGACATTTTAATAGTGGCCTCAAACAATTGTTGCCCTTCTGTGGTTGACCAATCTCACTCAGCACAATGCCCTCCAGGTTCATCTACATGGTGAATTGTTTCGTAGACTGGTTATTCTTTAATGTTACATTATATTCCAATGCATGGGTACACCAAAGTTTACTTATTCACACTTCCACTGATGAGCCTTTAGGCTGTTTACATCTCTTTGCTATTGTAAACAGTGCTGTGAGGAACATGGGTGTGCATATACCAACTCATGTTGTAGCTTTTATTTCTCTAGGATCCATACCAAGTAGAGGGATTGCTGGCTCATATGATACTGTTTTTGAGGAAATTCCATACCGTTTCCCACAGTGGTTATACCCACAGTGGTTATACCATTTTACAGTTCTACCAGCAGTATTTGATGGTTCAGTCCCTGCATTCTCACCAGCTTTTAAAAAAACAACTTTGCTAATAATGTTAGGGTGGCATGATGTCTCGTTGTTTTGATTTGCATCTTTTTGAATGACTAATGATTGTGAGTGTGTCTTCTTGTTTGCTGGCCACCTGCATGTCTTCTTTGGTGACATGGCTGTTCAGATCCTCTGCCAGTTTTCACATGAGATTGTTCCCCTTTTTCTCTTTGGGCTATTGAAGTTTTCTACAAATCTTAGAGATTTGTCCCTTATCTGATATGCCATAGCCCAATATTTTCCTGTTCTGTGGGTTCTTTTTTTATACATTTGATAAAATCTTTTATGTACCTAAGTGTCTAATTTTCAGGAGGCCCCAGGCATCTAGCCTGTGTCCTACTCTTTGTTTGTTTTCAGCTATGTTGATAGTGCATTTATGCCATGTGTTAGCGGCCTAAAATTTGTCCCTATATTATTTTCATTGATGCTTTTTATGGTGATAGGGTTTACATTTAGGTCTTTAATCCAGCTTGAGTTAACTTTTGTATAGTTGTGAGATATAGGTCCTATTTCATTGTTTTAAAAATAGATATTCAATGTTGCCATCACCATTTGCTAACAGAACTCTTTCCCATTTAATGCCTTTTGGCCCTTTGTCAAAGATCACCCGTATGTAATTGGACGGATTTACTTCTGGCTTCTCAGTTCTGTTCAAGTGGTCTCTGGCTATGCCATTGTGCCAGGACCAGGCTGCTCTGAGTGCCATTGCTGTGTAGAGGATTTTGAGATGTTCTTTTGCAGTGCTTTGCTTTATTGGGGCCTCTTTCCTTCCATATGAAGTTGGTGATTAGTTTTTCTGGCTCTTGAAATGATTTGCTCAAATCGCAAAGTAACCACTGGGCTATAGCTGACCCTTTTCTGTCTCTTTAAAGAAGGATGAATCTGGATCAGGGTTCCATCGAATCTGTAGATTGCTTTGGGTGGTATGGACATTTTCACAATGTTGACATTTCTATCCAAAAGCATTGTCTATTTTCCCATTTGTTTTGGTTTCTTGTAGTCATATTTTGAAAATTTTTTTGTAGAGGTAGTTTTCTCTCTGGTGAAATTTATTCCCAAGTATTTCATCTTTTGAGTGGCTATTGTCATAGTATTGCTTTCTTGATTTCATTTTCTGAGTTATCTTTTTAAAGGAAGCCAACAGATTTTTTGGTATGTTGATCTTATTGCCACCTTGCTGAATCTTTCCATTACTTCCAGCAACTTTCTTGCTGAGTCTTTGGGATTTCCTCTGTATAGGATCATCGCATCTGCAAATAGAATTTTACTTCTTTGCCCATTTGGATGCCTTTGATATCTCCTTGTTGCTTTGTAGTCTGACTTCGACTTCCAACACAATGTTGAACAGGAACGGTGATAGAATTCCTTTGTCTGATTACAAGGGAATGTTTTCAGTTTTTTACCTTGAAATTAATGTTGGCTGTTGGTTTTTGAATATATGCCCTTTCTTAATTATGTTGAGGAA